ATTCCACCTCATGGTGACTTAGAGTTTCTCACTCAGTCGAGACCTAGGGGAAACCTCTTCATCTCTTCATCCCCCCACTCCTGTGCCTGATTACTTATGTGTAATATGGGGAGAGTTGTAATAGTACTCACTTCACAGGGTATCTGTGGGATTTCAGTGAGATAATGTATAAATTAGATAGTGCTTGGCACACAGCACTCAATAAATGGTAGGTGGGGAGACAAGGGGGATCTTACTGGTTAAATATATTAGCGAAGTAGAAAGAATTTTTATTTGCCAGAAAGAGTCGTTCTTCAAGCTTAGTGTTCATTTTATTTTCTTTAAGCTTTTGCTGGGGTACTTTAAAGAAGGCTGATGGTACAGAATCAAGAAGCAATGTGTCATTCTTTTAGTTGCTTCCAACTGTAAATTAAAAGTCTTACTAAGTTTGGCTCATCTGCTGCTCTGATGCAAGCGCTCTGGTTCGATGAGAATGAAGGAACCCCATAAGGTGTCCACTGAGGCTTGATTCTTTTCTTCAAATAACAAACTGTATCATGACTAAATGTCTCCAAGGAGTAGATGATGTACTGCCCTTCACTTGTGCATACTTGTGTTTGAATATGAGAAAGTTATAAATTAGTTTATTATATAAGTTACCTCAGATCGTTTTTTTTTTTTTTTTGGATGCAGAGTCTTACTATGTCACACTTGGTAGAGTGCCATGGCGTTATAGCTCACAGCAACCTCAAACTCTTGGGCTTAAGCAATTCTCTTGCCTCAGTCTGCCAAGTAGCTAGGACTATATGCACCCACCACAACCCCTGGCTATTTTTTGGTTGTAGTTGTCATTGTTGTTTGGCAGACCCAGGCTGGGTTCAAACCCGCCAGCTCTAGTGTATGTGGCTGGCGCCCTAGCCTCTGAGCTACAGGCATTCAGCCTCTGATTCTTTTTTTATAGAACAGGAGCAAACATCAGAATAATACCTCTGAATCTTGCTACCTTAAAATAGTACATAAAGGAATATTTTAATGATACATTAAAATGACAGAACACAATTTGAAACACCATTATATTTATTTGAGTTGGTATATGTTTGCTTAGTATTTTATACTGCTAAGGATAGAGAGAAAAAATGTGTGCAGATTTTGGAAATACAGGGAAGATGGACCCACCATCTTGGGAGGCAGCACCGTAAGGTAATTAAGGAGAACAAGGATATTGCAGCAAATGATGTCTGGCTGTATTATACATCCCAGCTCTACCGCTTGCCAAGTGCCTGTCCCTGGTGGTAGTGGCAGTGGTAATGATGGCAGTAGTGGGGGTGGGATGGCAGAGGTGGTAGAGGTGGTCACAGTTGGACAAAAACAATAAATGATTTTTAAATATCCCACAAGAACACTGATAAATGAGAAACAAGCTGTGGCAATTTCAACCAGACTTGTAAATGAAACAGTTAAGGGCAAACAGAATGATGCTAAGTCCAATGTGAATTTTATCTGGAATGATGCATGCTGATGCCTTCATTTGTCAAATAGAAAGTCAGAAAATGGGGCTGACATCCACAGAGGCACTCTATGAAGTCGTAGAGGGAAAGAGATGTATAAACAAAGCTGGGGATCAAGAAGGAAAAGGAATAAGTGCATGTGGAGAGAACCTTTGGCCAATGGCTAATTTTGCCAAAAAGAAGCATCTCTCACCTGTATTTGTTCTAACAAATATATATTACAAGTAATTTTTAAAGAAGTCTGGCTCGGCACCTGTGGCTCAAGTGGCTAAGGTGCCAGTTACATACACCTAAGGTGGTGGTCCGAATCCAGCCCGGGCCGCCAAACAACAATGATGGCTGCAACCAAATAAATAGCCAGGCATTGTGGCAGGCGCCTGTAGTTCCAGCTACTTGGGAGGCTGAGACAGGAGACTTGCTTGAGCCCAGGAGTTGGAGGTTGCTGTGAGCTGTAATGCCACTGCACTCTACCCAGGGGGACAGCTTGAGGCTCTGTCTCAAAAAAAAAGAAGTCCAAAATAAAATAAGAATAAATGTGAGTAAAAGAGTAAAATAACCTCCTGAGAGAAATCTGAAACCTGTCCATGCTTTGAGAAGATGATGCATTATAAGGATCTATTAAAAATTACTAACTGGGACCTAAATATATAGGTGACATTTTTAAAGAATCTCTACCAAAAAGTAGGCATTGATATAATGTTATCATAGTTATTGGTTTATATGTCCATGACTTTATCTGTAGATCAGAAAGATTTTCTCTCTGGCCTATATTGTATTTGGGGCCCTAAAGTTCCCTAGCTGTTTAGTCACAGAAACCATGGTCCACTAATAGAAACAAAATTTTTAAATGCAATAATATTTATAGCTGGAATTTTTGAAACTTATCTAACTGCCTGATCTTGGTAGCAATGAGAAATGTGATGATGAATGCCCTTTAGAGTGTTTATTAGAATGGAAAAGCAATCTAGACATAGAAGACTACTTAATTACAGATGTTTTAGTAAGTGACATAAGTAAAAGCCTTGGAAGAGACCAGGAATGAGTGGTAATATAATCATGTAGTTACAAAATAGCCATAACTTGGTTCAAGAAATTTTTTATTGGACTGAAATAGAGAAAGAACTTAGAAACATGAAACAATCATATGGAATTGATGGTAGTGAGAAGAGTAATGAACTGAACTCCCTGTGTCTCTTCTCACTGGGTTCAGAAATAGAAAAAACAACAGAAGGCCAGAGGTATAGTTTGTTAATGGAAAGCTCAAAAATTCAAACAAGTGGGCTTACATTTTGTAAGTTTTTTAAATCTAAAATTGAGGTGATCTAATTCTCATCCCAAGCCTATCATGTAACATCTCTGTGCCTGAATATTATTATCTATAAAATAATAGGTTAGGACACATTAGCACTCAAATTCCAGTTCTTGAAATTCCATACCTTTTTTTTTTT